CAGGAATGCAGGAGGGTCTAAGGAGTGGGAAGAGGAGGAGAGCAGAGCATTCCTTGCACCAGGGTGCTGCCCAGGGTGTAGGCACGAGGACCAAAGCACCAGTGAGGTGCTTGAGTCAAAAAAAAAGGCCCATAAAAAGCCATGATGAAGTGAACTTCATAATGACACGTGGGCTAATTGCAGCCAGGGGTCTGCAGGGAGGATTTCAGTGGGCACACGATGGAGAGAGGGAGGGAGGGAAATGCAGATGCCAAAGGAAGAAAGAAAAATGTTCGTATCAAAATAGAACAAAAGCTGAGCTCCAGACATGGGAAGGGGGGGAGTGTAGGAAAAAATGGAAGAGGAATAAGAAGGCATTGAGGGAGCCCCTCACAATATGGGGTTTGTTTGGGAAGATGTGAGCTCGGCGTCCAGCAGCTCTCACAGACATTATGAGCAGAATGGAATGCTCTTTCCTGCTCTCCCTCTGCTCCTCAGGAGATGATGAGTGTTTGTGGTACTGAAAGATCCCAGCTGAGAGCTGGGTCCCCACTCCCATGCTCTGGGCAGCAACATGTTGCAGGGTGCCATACACTGACTTTATCCCTTGTAGGTGGAGGTCCTTGTTCCAAGAGCCTGCAGCTGATCCAGGTCATTATTTCACAGTCTTTCCAAACCAATGCAAAATGCTTTCTAAAAAGAAGACCCATTTTCCCCCCTGCAGCTTATGACCAGCCCTTGGTCCCCCCCAAATGCTGGCCCAAATGTGGGAGAGACCCCAGAGGATGGTCGAAGCTCAGACTGGCCCCATTTCTTCTTGCTTTTGATCCCTCCCCAGGAGCTGGTTCACCACACAGCCCCGTCAGCAGAGCATGAATATTTCAGTTTGGCTCACAAGTGCCTTTTTGAACCAACTCCCCAGGTCACGCCCTAGTTTTCCAGGCTGCCATGCACCTTGCAGAGGGATCTGGGAACAAATGCACCGAGGTGCTTTGGGGTGAAAAGCAACAGCAGAGGAAGGGAGCACACCTAAAACACTCCAACCACTGCTGGGTGTTCGTTATGGACACGTCGTCTGTGGGATGAGAACACAACTAGCCCAAAGTAACAGCCTGGGTGGCAGGTCCTCAGGGTGGCTGCAGCACTCGGTGGGTGCTGTGCTGTCCTGGCTGCTAATGGAGACGTGGGTGCATGTGCCAGCAAAGGGGGGGAGGTGAGGGAGGGCAGGAATCAGCAGGGCCACTTCTTTGGGGAGCAATGTCACTCCTGCCAGATTCAAGAGACCATGAAATTGCAGCCATAGAGAGAACTGACAAACCCTGAAAGGACCAGGGATGTCCCAAGGGCAAAGGAGTGACTGAGGTTGCTAAGCAAAACTGGAAATAAAAAACAAGCCCCACACTGAACCACTGTCTCTCCAGTTGTTTTATGTGTCTGGGTCCATAAAAGACCCAGAAGTACGTTCACTCCCTGTGTCACGACCTGTAGGCCACCAGTGCTGCCTTAAGAACCTGCTCCATGGCTTTCAG